CATATACTCGGATTTTCGAAATTCGATTTTTGGTTAATCCGGATTAGTATACTTAATTTCTTTGATTTATTGTAACTCAGATTTGAAAAATCCGATTTTTGGTTTAACTCGGATTTAGTAAATCCGAGACCGGTATTTCTGTCCACTCCCACAAACGAGCAATATTTCTGTCCACTCCCTCTCCAGGATCATTTTTTTGATCAAAAACTCTTGCAAATGTACTATGGTATTCACATAGTGAATAACACTGGACAGTAACCAACTATACCGGGCATTTGCGTAGTGCAAAAAGAACTCGAATATGAACTAAGCTAATTAATTTGGGATGAAGCGTCGATAACTCGCAAATGTTGTTTTGGAGGATTTAGATAAGAACATGAGTGATTTACCTCAGTTCTCTAATATGGGAGGAAATAAACTGCCATTTGGAGGAAACGTAATGGTGTTAAACCAAAGAAAAAAAAAAGATAACAGTGTTTGGCGATAACTTTAATTATGCTACACATAGATGAACACACCAACAAATTGAGCTACTACAATAAACTCTTACCCTATTTGGAGGTATTATGAAGCTATAAGATTGAAGGAAAACATAAGACTTACACAAGGAAAAATCTTGAATTTTCCCTTGAAATTAAGGAATCCTCAAATGATACTAAGGGTTGAAGACGAAAAAAGAAGGACCTCCTAACGATGGTGTAACACATTTGATATCCATGAAGATATACTTATAAAAGATTTGGGTGATCATATTCCTTCTACTTGTTGTGCTTTTTGTCCAAACATAAAAGAAAGTAAAGAGACGCCCAACTTCTTCAATCGAATGGCCACTCTAGATCTAGCGCCATGATGACATGAATGCCCTGCATTATCATATGTTGTCCCTGTTTATTGGATATAAAAGGGTTTGCTACAACCTTGACAATTTCGATCTCCAGGGTAAACATGTCTATCCTAAAGAAAAAGAAATGTATACTCCTGAATTTCTCAAAAGCATCAAATGTCCAGGCATGCTGATCAAAACTTGATGTTGAAGGTTGGGGTTTCAATTATGTATCTTGCAAATGTAGACCAATCCGGTTGACATTTTAATAGCACTAGACATGCCTTGATTTGGGTGATGGTGTTATTCATGCGAAAATAATCTTTGAAACAAACATTAGTAGGAATGTGTTCCATGCCTGCAAGGTTATTTCCCCTTATGACAAGAGTTTGCCTATTAAGTTTGAAGAAGTTCCTTGCTTTGCCTGCTTTGCCATGACTCTGGGTGCACAAAAACTATTTTCCGAAAAAAAAATCTTAAATTTCAAGGGGTAAATACCCCTCCCCCAAAAAAAAAAGTGGGCAAGTTGTATATACGTACATCTGCCCCTTGATTCTAAGTAAGAGTGAAGGATAATCCCTCTCGGAGGGAATTTTGTATTTGAGACATTCTACCTTTACAAAGGATCAGTTGTACATAGTGTTTTCTAAGGTAAAATTTAGGGGAGAAAAATACTAAGGTTCTCATTTATAACAAGAAAAGTGAATTTGGGTATTGCACAACAAAAGTGGTTTGTAAAGAGGTGCTTGACAATTTGTGATGGGCAATACTCTTGTGATGGTCATCTTATTTCTTGATCAATAATCACATCTATATTCACTTACCATTTTTTTATGTACTTGCGTGTTTTTTGTGTTAGTTATTCTATACTTTTTGTGATGATTTACCTATTAAATGTAATGTATGCTTACAATAACTAAACTCCATTATTTCATTGGCTTAGTTTTAACAGGGTAACTCTTCTTATTCTTACTAAGCCAATGAAACTAAGCCATACTTATAACAATTATAATAGAGCGGAATCAAATTGATCTTCACCAGAATCGTTTTGGCAATCTATACATAATTAAACAATACCTTTTGGTGATTCATAAGCTAGATGAATTGACCACACAGCCGCACACACGTCCGATATCTAAAAGTATCCACAGAACTATTTCAGAGTTCTTCAACAGGATTGATTCAATACCAAGGCAATATGCTAGTTCTACTTGAATCACCAAGGAATATGCAAAGAATCCTGGAAAAGAGTTTTTCTTTCTATTCTTTTGCAAAACCGTGTATAGAATCAAACTTGGCATTGAGTACTTATAGAAGTCTGTTTTCTCAATTGACCGTCAAACAAAAAATTTATTTTAAACGGAATATAGGAGATCACATTATATCTGACCAGTTAAGATCAGATAAGAAGCAGATAATAACCTCCTTAAAAGATAATTTTAGTTGTACTAAAATTATTCTTCAAACATTAAGTACATAGGATTTATATATATTTTTATATTAACCCCAATAATTACCTTATAATTATTTAATCATTTTAACTCTAGATTTAGTTCTTTATGTGTGACCCTTTAGGTACTTAATCAAATGGTAATAAATACAACTATAATCTTTAACTGGCTTTAGTACAAAACCAACAAACTCCGACATTAACTAAAGTCAATATAGTTTGGAGAGTTTTAACTTAAGATAAATTAAACAATTTTAACTTATTACTAACTTAATAATTTAACTTGTATCTATAGATCAAGATTAGCTTCTAGCCATGCATCATGACCACCCAAATGTTTAAAAAACAAGTGATCGACTTCACCTATCCATGAACCAGTCTTTGTGTAATTAATGTCCTTTCACCATCCTTTATCCCAATTAGTACAAGAGTAGGGTATAAGTGCCAACTCCAATCATACTAACTTTATTCTAGGGTTTAGGCCGCTAAGACCTTGTGATTTGGCTTTCCTGTTCGAAAAGAACTATTCTTATTCCTTTATTCGTTTGGTTGGATTTCTGTCCCATAGAGTACGACAGGCGTTCACCACTGATGCCTGTAACTATATCTATATTTTTGTTTGAAGCCTATAAAGTGAGCTCGGGAAGCTTTATAAAAACCTTCATTCATGCAAGTTCCGGCTCTGATGTCTAAGAAAGTATTATGTGTAGCAATATGAATAGCATGTACCTTATTGTATTTTTCGCTCTTTGGAAGAGTGCTCTTCCAAGTATAAAAGTATGTTAGAAAGTGAAGACTTTCTGCAAAAGGATTATTGAAAACCCACGGAAAATGGCAAAAAACACCAAAAGCTATTCACAACTTACCTTTAACCAGTTTGATCTTCTACTTCAAAGTTCAGACAGTTCTTCTTTAACTTGATTTTGATTAAACATTTCTCTTTTTGTGAGGTGCCGAGCTTGTCTAACCCTGAACTATTACTGGCTTGTTCATCAGAAACCAACATTATCAGAGACCCTTTTGCTTCAGAAACTTTGCCATAGGTTAAGCTTAGCCTCCGGAAGAAGGCCGATCATGCAACAGGTTTTCAATGCTGATGAACTCCATTGCGAAATTTTCAATTAATTCAAGTCCGGTTCCTGTTGTTGTCTTTTCCTGGTTTCCTCTTGTTTTGCTAATTGCTTGGAAGTGTCCCCTTGTATTTTAAATTCGAAATCTTCCAATCACCTGCAGTTAGACCAAGATGGTTCTAACGTCATGATCTTCCCCAAAATGGTCCACCTCCCATGAAGATGGTTCTAACTTCTAAGCGAACAAACAGCTCATGGACTGTAAAATACTGAATTTTACCTTCTCTAATTGGGTACTTACTTTTAACTTCACCAGTAGTTCATAGGAACAATGTAAAATTAAAAAAATCCAATCTGAAAGAGGTTAGTATGCGGTGGAGAGACGGGCAGCAAAAATGCTCTTCTTCTTCGAACTGATGGTTCCTGTATAACATGCAAATAGAATGAATACCATGACCTCATTTATTCAGAATTACTGCCCACATATTGCGTCTAATTAAGCTTGAATAGAACAAAATGTTCTCGAAGACAATGCTATGGAGTTCCTTACATTCTATTCCTTTAAATATATCAATGGTGTTTCACTTAACTGAGAGGAAGCCGGAGCATGTCATGTAATTTCTCCCGTGAAAGTTTCAGCTCCATAGGCCATATCATCTACACTATCCACAAGAAGTCGCTTACTCTTTGACCCAATGTTTCTAATCTTTTTGCACTCTGGAATACCCGTTTCCTGTCATTAGCGTAGCGATTGTGGCATACGGAATCGACATCACTGAAATGTGTGACTATGCTCTTAAAGAAAGATCTCTACTGCTTGGTTGAAATTAATTGCATACAGATTGTCACAGACATAGAATGGTTCTCTCAACTTATAGGCTTTCTGTCCTGCAAAGAAAGTAATCCGCTGATTAAGATCAAAATTTTGGGGGAAAAAGAAACAAAAAACAAAAAACTGAACGTGTATATCCCAGAGAAAACACCTGCAGAAAATGATAGTACAGTTTATGATTGGAGGCCCCTTTGAACCTTTAGAGATTCTCCTCCCCGTGGTAATGCAGAATAAAAAATAATCTCACCACTCACCACTGATTCATCGATTCAGAATTTGAGAATATAAACATGCAGCATTCTATGCATAAAAGCTAACACCTTGCACTAATCCCTGAAGCTTGTAGCATAGAGCGCTCTTCCAGAATGTGTAGCTCAATATCATCCTGTTCTGTGAAAAATCTGCTTGCATCAAAGAATGGCAATTTCAGAAAATGTATTTGCCCTGTTGCAGAAAAGAAAAAAAGGAATCTATATGAGAACCAGAATCTTCATCTTGTCATTCAATAAATTGACTTCATACAAAAGGGACGTTTTCTTGGTTGATGGGAAAAAAATGCCTGAATTAATCATTGAATTCGCTCATGAGGCAGAATGAAACACAAAAACAACAAGTGAACGCAATTTTAAGATCAAGATGTAACTTGAAACTTACAAAATCAACTCTATCCTCCAATTCCCAATTCTTCTTGATCTATTACCCATAGCCATTCAACAGGAGGCCTTTTGGCACAATTTTCCGTTTTCTATTTGTTTTTCTCCCATTGCGACGTGAAGTAATCCGTAATGTGTTTCTCAACGTGACTTCGAAGTATAGAAAAATCATGCCTTTAGATGAAAGAGTGCCCTGAAATTTTTCATCACACAAAATGATTTCCATGAACCCACCAAGCTTATTGTCCTAAAACCTGATCAATGGATTCATCATCCCAAATCCAAAGCCTCGAAATTTCTCTACAAAGCCTCACCAAAAGCTTCAATAGAAGGCGAAAATGGAAGGCTTTCTTCGACGACAGAAGGGCCGAAAATCGAGATGAAGTTGAAGAACAGAGATCTTCATGGAGATCCCAATTGTCAGATTTCTTAAACTCAACAGAGATTCATATTTTCACCATAATTTTACTCTTCACAGACATCATCTTCACAAGTCTTGAAATTTCTTCATCCGTGGTTCCGTCATCATCGTCTTCACCAAAACAAGAAGTTTGGTTTCATTGGGCTGGAATTGGGTTTATGGGCCTACTTTGCGTCAGAAGTCTTTTCCTTCTTATTGGGTTGGGCTGGAGGTCCTTTCTGAGAAGCCCAGGGTATGTTCTTGATGGATTAGTTATGCTTGTGGCTTTGATTTTGGAATTGTTTTTGGAAAACAAAGGAGGAGGATTGGTTGTTGTGGTGAGTTTGTGGAGGATTGTTAGGGTTGTTGAGAGTGCATTTGAGCTTAGTGATGAGGCCATTGAAGCAAAGATTGAGTTGGTTTTGCAACAATTTCAAAATCTCAAAGATGAAAATGCAAGTCTTTTGGAAATTATTTTGGAGAAAGATTTGATTATAGAGGAATTAAGAGAAGAGTTGTCAAGAAAGAATTAATTTAGTTTTGTTTATAATTTTACTTTTCTCCCTACTTTGTATAATGTTTATAATTAAAAAAAAGTTATATACTTTTCCCTCTTTTTTCTTTTTGTTTTTTCCTTCTTCCCAAAAGGCATGGTGTCTATGAGTAAAAATGACTAATCCCAGTAGAAAAATAATTCACATAAACCCCAAATCTGTCTCATTATTTAAGGATGAATAATTTTTTATTATTTTTTTTTTACCTCAAGTACGATCTGTTTTGTTAATGAGTTTTATATATTTTAAGTTTGATGCACTTTTGTGGAAGTTAGGTCAATATCTTTGCCGGTTATACTAAATGGAAAAGGATAATCTATTCTTCACTAAAGATAACAAGTTGCCATTCGGTGCGAAGTGAGAAGCATATATCTTTACCGGTAATTTTTTAATCAAATGATGGACGAAGAGATGGTAACAAAGTGATAAATTGTAATATTAAGGGCAATATAAACAGAAATTAAAAATGATCCATTCACTTTTTGGAGATTTGAGAAGATGTCTAAAATCTGCAAACTTGCAATTGAAAATATAGGTTAATTTTCCCTCTCTCAGAATTAAGAACAAGTGTTGTTTTAAAAAATATGTAACATAGATCATTGTTTCCTTGGCTATTTTCTTTCCTTTTGTAAATGTTAATTGCATTGGATTAATATTTATTTGTGTTTCAAATGAAGTAATTTTAGTTAGTTTTAGATAAACATAGAATAAATTAGAACTCTGTCGAAAGTAGAAGAAATAAATTCTTGAGTCGTACCCTCTAAATTTATTTGACAGCATGATTTGAATTGGTTATGTTCCTAACAAAGTATAGAGTCATCATGCATTGTATGTATTCCATCATTGAAAAGTCAGAAGTTAATGAGCAATTTTTGGGATAACCATATACAACCCTAATATATTCATCTAACCATGCGGCATTTGTGATATGGCTCCAAATATATCATCCGCGATTAACAAATAGTAATATTTATACCTAAAGGAATTGCGATGAGTGGATGAGACTCTTCCTCCTCTAACCATAAGCTGAATGGGAATATTAGTGTATACATCTCAACGTTTATACCCTACTAGCGAATTCATCTCAAAGTTTTACAATTGGTTAATTACGTCCCAAGGTTATTAAAATTGAGCAGATCCACTCCATGACCTGCAAACCAACAAAAGTGACCTGGTATAACAGGTAAAATCATTTGGATCCCATATTTAACATTTTTTACTTCTGTTTATTTGAATTTTTTAATTTTTTTTTAGTTTATTGAAACAAAAACAACATTTATAAATAGAGAAACTAAAAACTTTAATTTAGTTGTAATGAATCTAATTTATTTTATAATCATATTTATCTTAATTTTTCGATAAAACTTAAAGAATCTTTCCAAAAAATTTCTTTATTTTGAGTCTAAAATAGAACAATTATACTTACACACACACACAAACACACACACACACACACACACATATATATATATCTTATATTAAAAAATTAATTAATTGTGAGTTTATCTAACATTATAAATTATGTCATTTGTGATGTATAAATTATTTTGATTAATTAATTAAGTTTTTTCGAGTTTGTTTTTAATTTTAAAAATTTTGTTTGTTTTTTAATGAACTAAAAATGACAAAAAAAATTTGAAAAAAAGGAGAAAAGAAAGACTAAATATTAGACCCAATAGATTTTTACTTGTTATATCAGGTCATTTTTGTTGTTTTGCCGGTCATGGGATAGATATGCTCAATTTTGATAAACTTGAGACGTAATTAATCAATTTTAAAACGTTGGGATGAATTAGCACACTGGTGTAAAAGTTGGGATGTATACTCAAATCTAGTTATGCATTTATCATTTTTATTGTAACCAAAGAAAATGAACCCAACCAACTGGGGTTGGTACAAGTGGTAAGCAGCTTGATGCCGTTTAAGCAAGGTCTCGAGTTCGAAACCTTGTGGATGCAAAAAACTCTTGTTGGGAGACTCACCCACCACAGCCAGGTGTAAAAAAAAAAAAGAAAAGAAAATCAACCCAAGAATACCTAAGAATGGAAGCAAAAAAATATGTCTGAAACACTCTCTCTGACCATGGGGTTTCTGACGCCCATCTGAATCCAAAAGTGAACCCCCCTGATCGATCGTCGACGGATTTTCCAGTGTTAAAAGATGCTATTCCGCCTATTGTTAATGGAAGATACTCAAAAAAGCGCAGATCTGTTTTGTTGACAGAGGAGGCGGACCAGATTGGGCACATGTCGGATGGGCCGGAGAAGCCGGCGGTGGTTCCAAAACAGGAGGTGCCACCAAGGATGGCTTGGCGTGATCTGGTGTCCAAGGATCGCCCACATGTGGTATTGTTTGACGGGGAAGATGATGGCGACGTTTTGGATGATGATGTAACCACGGATTACGGTTCCGGAGTACCAGATCTGTGGATTAAGAAGAGTTTTTATACATCTTGCGTTAAGTCGTGGCAGAATGTTGTTATCAAACAGATGGGTTCAAGAAGACCTCTTGGTATGTTGGCTTTATACAACCGTTTGCTGCAACTTTGGCCTAGCATGCAGGGTTGCACAATGGTTGATCATGAGAATGGGTTTTTATCTGTTTGTTTTAAGACCAATGAAGATGCATGCAGTCGATGTTCTAACTGGTGGCCCGTGGGTGATCAATAAGTCGTATATTCATGTCCAACCTTAGAGCGAGAATTTTGATGAAAATTTGGACCGTGTTACTTCTATCGTAGCATGGATTCGGTTGCCGGAGATGCCGGTATTTATTTATCATAAGAAGGTGTTTCGGGCAATTGGTGATATTTTGGGAAAAGTGTTGAAAATTGATCATCAGATGGCTGCCCAAACCAGGGGGAAATTTGCTCGTTTGGCGGTTCAGCTTGATCTTACGAAACTTCTTTGTACGAGTTTCACTATCATGGGAAAGCCTCAACGGGTTGAGTATGAGAATTTGCCAGAAATTTGTTTTTTATGTGGAATTTATGGCCATGCTAGTGCGGGTCTACCCCAAAATTCCGGCGGCTTCAAGTCAACCGGAGAAGGAAGATGGGGCTCCGGGCAATATGGGTGGTACGGGGAGGAATGGTAGGCGGGAGCAGTCAGCTGCCGGGAGTGACAGCGAGTGGATTGCCACAAATCATAAAGGAAGGGGATCTTCGGTACAGAATTAGCAGGATTCGGCTTCTTTACCAAACCAGAATCGCTCTGTGGTGATAGCGGGTTCCAGATTTGGTGCTTTGGGTGAGATAAATGCGGAGGAGTTTGAGGAAAATCAGGGTTCTCAAGTAGGGAAGGATTCTCGCAATGATATCCCTTCTGTTTCGGTGGAGGATAAGGGAAAGGGTGTGCTTGGGCCGAGGGCAGAGTGGCGTACAGTGTGGAAGAAGGAGAAGGGCAAAGAAAGTGTTGGGCCGGGGGAGAGTGCAGGCTTGGAGGAGGTTGTTTTGGTGGAGGATTTTCAGTTGGATGATATGGAAATCATGGATGAGGTTGCCAAGGAATTGAGTGGGATTGTTGGGCTTGCGGCCCAGAAAGACAAAACGGACCTTGCTTACTCTCAACAACATGTTGTCGTTTGGGCAGCTTCCAAACTAGACCCTTTGAAACATAGTGCGGTCCATGTTTTGGACAATCCCATTTTTAATAATAATAATTGTCCTGGCCTCGATGGTTTCTTTGATGATCAGGGTGTTGTTATGATGTCGGAGGGGCTGTCACCTGGTGATCCTAGTGTCACCGTGCCAGTGGAGTGTTGTTATGATGCGGCATAGTGGAGTGTTGACGGTGGAACATTGTGTGATATGGATGAGGAGACGGCCCTAGGGACGTCAGTTCCTAGTAGTGTCTGACGTTTGTCACCCTCTCTCGCTCTCTATATAATTTTTTAATGATTATTATGTCTTGAAATGTATAAGGAGCAGGCTCGCCGAAATTTCAAAGAGCTTTCTCTACTTTTGTTAATGGGTATAGACCCGATGTGGTGGCCCTTTTGGAACCAAGAATCAGTGGCAAGGGGCAGTGAGTTTGTCCATGATAGTGGATTTGATCGTTCGTTTCGAGTGGAAGCAGAAGGTTTCAAAGGCGGCATTTGGCTGCTTTGGAGAGAGAGGGTGGACGTCCAAATTATCAAGTGTCACAAGCAGTTTATACACGCTAGTGTGAGGCTAGATAATGATGCTTTTTTTCTACTTTTACATATGCTAGTCCTAATCCACAAGGGCATTGGATTTTGTGGCGTGAGTTGGGTGTGGAGGTTTTAGGAGTGAGGGGGCAATGGCTGTTAGGAGGAGATTTCAATATTCTGTGGATGGTACGAAGTTCGCTTGGTTTAGAGGGGAGCTCTCTGATAAGTTGGATCGATTTGTTAGTAACGAGTTGTGGCTGGATAAATATAACACTTGTATGGTTCGTAATCTAGCCAAGTTGGAGTCCGACCATTTGTCTTTGTTGATTCGAATTGGTGGCTCGATGCAAAGAAGTTTGCAGCCAAAACCTTTTCGCTTCTTGGCATCATGGTTGCTTCATGAAGAATTTGAAGAATTGATGGGTGATACTTGGAAGGAGGGGATAGTGTATGAAGAGGCGGTGAAGATTTTTGTTGATGAAGTGAGGCCATGGAATTTTCATGTTTATGGGAATATTTTTAAGAAGAAGAAAACATTGTTGGCTCGACTTGCTGGCATCCAACGTTCTTTGCAATATTATCACTGTGAAAAATTAGTTAAACTAGATAAGGAGTTGCGACGGGAGTTGGAAGAGGTAATGATCCATGAGGAGATTCTACTTATCCAGAAATTTCAAAGAGATTGGACTCTCTTTGGTGATAGGAATACAACTTTCTATCACCGGAAAGTTAAGACTCAATGGCGCAAAAGTAGAATTCTGTTTTTATGGGATGAACATGGCAATTTGATTGAGGATCAGTCCTGTATGCAGTCGATAGCGGTGCAATTTTTTCAGAAAATTTACTCAGCAGGACTGCCACCTCTTCAACCGGTTTACTGGGAGAATTTATTTCCCTGGCTTGATGATGCGAAAATAGGTGCCATGTCACGGGGTGTTTCTAATGTGGAGATCAGCTTTGTTTGAGATGGCTCCCCTCAAGGCGCCAGGATGCTATGGGTTGCATGCTATTTTTTTCCAACATCAATGGCAAAGAGTTAGAGCATCCGTCTGTAACTTAGTTCGCCAAATTATCCATGACGGAGTAATGCCTGATGGGATCATTGATACTTTGATTGTTCTTATTCCAAAAGTGAAAAATCTGCAAGAAATCAAGAGCTTTCGCCCGATTAGCCTCCTTAATGTGGTATACAAGCTGTCGACGAAGGTTTTGGCGAATCGTATGAAACCCTCACTGCCACTAATTGTTGGTCCAACTCAAGCAAGTTTCATTCCTGGCCTCCAACTTTCTGACAATATTGTGGTCGCACAAGAATTGGTTCATACTATGCGTACAAAGAAGGATAAAGTTGGATATATGTTGGTGAAAGTTGATTTGGAAAAGGCATATGATTTTCTAAGTTGGAAGTTTGTTGAAGAAACCATAGCATTGGTTGGCTTTCCTGACTTCATGGTAAAGGGGGTCATGACTTGTGTTTTTACGGCTTCCATGCGACTGTAGTTTAATGGGGAGATTAGGGAACGGTTTGTGCCGTCGAGAGGAGTACAACAGGTGACCCCATGTCCCCGTATTTGTTTGTGTTTTGTATGGAGAGGTTGGTACATTTGATTAATTTGGAAATGAATTCGGGAAGTTGGAAGCCAATTTCTGTTGGTCGAGGAGCAGTGAAGGTACCTTGCCTTATGTTTGCGGATGATTTGTTATTGTTCTTAGAGGAGGAGGTTGAGCAGGTTCACACTTTGAAGAGGGTTTTGGATTCTTTCTGTAATGCTTCGGGCTTGAAGGTTAGTGATGCTAAAAGGGCTTTATAAGAGGTATCTATTGAGTGGGTTACTGGGCTTTACAGAGGTTGCAGATTTGGGCAAGTACCTTGGTGCGCCATTGGTACATAGTCGGATAACCAGACATACATATGGGGAGATACTGGAGAAGGGGGAACGAAGGTTATCAGGCTGGAAGAAAGCTTCATTGTCAATGGCCGGTCGGATGACATTAGCTCAGTCGGTAGTGAGTAGTCTTCCTTATTATACTATGCAAACGACGTTGCTGCCTTTTTCTATTTGTGATGAGTTGGAGAAAAAAATGTCGTCGATTTGTATGGGGAGGCACGGAATCAAATAGAAGGGTGAGCCTTGTTGATTGGGAAGCGGTGTGTAAACCAAAACAATGTGGGGGTTTGGGTCTTAAAAAACAGTAAGAATGAGGCGTTATTGATGAAAATAGGATGGAAATTTTTGACTGATGAGGAAGCATTGTGGGTGAAGATTCTGCGGGCGAAATATAATTTGGAGCCGTCAAAAATGCCTGCGGATTTTTGCTTCCCCAAGGGTTCGGTTGTGATTAAAGCGTTCAGTAAGGTTTGGGAGAATGTTGTGAGTGGGGCGAGATGGTCCTTTGGTTGTGGGACTAGTGTTTTGTTCTGGTGGGATCGTTGGCTTCATTGTTCGGAACCTTTGATCAAGTTTGCCATTGCACCGGTGCCTGAAGATATTTTGCATGCCATGGTGAATGTGTTTGTTGATATTGATGATAGATGAAAGTGGCCGCTGTTTGCTCAGCTTCTCCTGGCGACTGCTTTGTTACGAGTGGCAGCTATATTGCCGCCAAGTTTGGAAGCGGGGAAGCATAAATGTTATTGGAGTTTGTCAGTGGTGCTTGCCGAGTTCACCAAAAAAAAAAAATATTAATAGCTTGGATTATGAGTTTTGTAGATAATGGAATCTAGGTCGATCCCACGAGGACAGCTAATTACCAAATTTGTTGTAAAGAAAAACTGTCAGTCAACAAGGTGTCACTCAGGAGAATGGAAACAGTCACTCAGGGGAATGGAGGCCAGGGGTGTTCTTCTCCTCTTCCTGCTGTTGTAGTTGTTTTATTAGCACCGTAAAGGTTGAGTTCTTGTTCATTCAGCTCACTTATAACTCTAAGTCAGTTTCCATTTTTCCTAGAGTCATCTTTGCACCCTTAACAACCTATTTTCCAATGATTGATTCCAGCTACAAAGTCATTAAGTTCTTAGGCCTTCAATAATGCTTATGTTAACTAAGTATATTCCTATCTTAGTTAAAATCATAGACTGTTACCTCTATGTCATAAGTTAAAGTTGAAACAATCCAAACCAAGTTTAGCCTTCCAGATCTCCCTTAGTTCTAGCATGCATTCAATTTAGTGATCAAGTAAATGAATGTAGAAAAACTTTCAACCATAAAACAAGGAACAAAACCATTGCTTTGACAACTACAACATCAGTTGAGGAGAATAACCCCTGGGAACTGTTTAGCTACTCATACAGATTAATGCTACATCTACTACATCGAAAGACATCATAGAAGTATGCATAGTAAACAAAATTCAAGCTAACAGTCAAAAGACGAGGAGAAAGCTTGTGCAGTTTCTGAGTCACTCCTGGGAGTGAAGGGGTTCACTCGTGGAACTGAAGAAGAAACTGGGTTGCTATTCTTCAACTTCGCTTCCTCACTGAGTTGTTGCTGCTTCTTCTTCTTTCTTGTCTTCTACCTGGAGTTTTTCTGAGTATTTTTGCAACTAAGAAGCTAACCAGAGACTGAGATGCCTCTTGAGAGTGCAGTTCCCCCTTTTATAGGGCCTTGCAGCCGGTGTCTTCATCATGAGAACCTCCTCATGCTTGGAGTTGTTTAATCCTCCCAATGTCTTGAGCCTGCAATCCAACTTGGCCGTTCCTTTTCTCTCTTCCAGCAGCAGCCGTTTTGCTCTCATTGATCAGCAGTGGTGGCTGGGATTGCGGCTGGGGGACAAGCATACCTCAAGGAGGAGGCAAAGTCATTAATGACAAGATGCTTATTGTCTAAGGGCCTTCTTCTTCGTCCAGCTCAGCACCCTTGCCTCAGCAGTCCTTAAATTGCTCCTTTGGCTTCTAATTTTCAGCAATTATTCAGTCCGGCCCTTTCCTAACAATAACATGAAAATGAGCTAAGTAAATTGCACCAATGTTAGGAAATACCCCCAATTGTTCATCAAATACAAAGTTAAGTGTGATGCTTTTATGTAATAATTTAACCATTATCAACTCCCCCAAACTGGAAGAATTGCTTGTCCTCAAGCAAAACACTAAACTTTTGTTGGTACTTTCAGAATTGCACATAACAACTAGGGAAGACAAAATGACTGAAGATTGACTTATTCCCCTGAGTGAGGATTCCCACTCAGGTAAATGACACTAAACAAGCAACAACCTTAAACACAACTAGATAGGTGCTGTCAACTTTCTGTCTCAAATTCAAGTGAAGAAAACATACATTTGAGGATACCAAATTTCTTTCTGCAATCCAGAGTCAAACAACCAACCTTCATAGGGAATTAGAATGCATATGCCACAAGTGTTTGTTCATGCCAAACCTACCAATCCATTCTAAGTTAACCGGTTAAACTTTTGGTGGTCATTCTTATGACCTAGTCTTGCCCAAGTTACTTGACTCGATTTACCTATTGAGACTTCAATCCTGGAGTTCCTGCACAGCCTTTATGCTTTATTTATTTAGAAAATCTTTTTTTTTTTTTTTGAATGGGATGTAAATGGACCAACCTACAGGGGTGTTATTCAACCTTATCTCTCCACTGCCTTACACCTCAACCCTTATTACTCCAACAGTTTGGAACTTTTTGTGGTGG